ATGCCCAATAAATTCCAGTAAAAAACGGAGTTTTTAACTTTTGGCTTTGAATTCTCAAAAATTTCAAATGGGCTTATAAGATTACGAAATTAGCTGTATTTTTCACCATATAAATTTTTGTTTTTATGTCATTTTAGGTTTTAATAAACTTTGATCAGAATTTTTTAATTTTCGAATATTTTTGTATATAAATAAATGTATTTCTGATATGTATGAATACAATACATATATATTTGAACATAAACACTGTAAAAAACCACGCCATTCAAAAATACCAAGCTTTGTTCAAAGGTTCCCCCTGGGGGCAGTTTTGAACACTTTGACTTCGTCCATTAAAACAGCAATAAAATATGTATATCAAACTTAAAGTATGTCATATGTAGATTCATTTTAAAGGTTACATATGTACCTATTAGTTTTATGAGGCTTAAAAGAAAAAAGTGTTCAAAGGTACCCACCTCTCCCCTATATATATATATAGTGTACTATAGTGTACTATATATTGCTTAAAATTTACCATAAATAACGGGTTTCCTTAATAAAAAACATGGACTTTGAGGTGCGAGTATAAGACATTTTTAATCCAAAAATATATCAGTCAGAACAGAATGGACAGAGATAAAAGAATAAAAGCTTTCAACACAGCTTGTCTAACTCATGACCCTCAAAATCTGTTGAATAATATCCATTTAATCTATTTTAGCCTGAGGGTGTGAACAATTTTACATTTGGCCAACATCTTAGATCTTGTGTTGAACATCATAAATGTTGCTGTCTGCTAGAAACTTGACAGGACAGTACTGGACTGGACAGTATACGCAATCATCTCGGTTCATTCTGTTGTGACTGCTATATTTTTTGATAAAATATGTTATGTACTACTCGAGCAATCGTTTTGCAAAAATATTCCGGCCTTCTTCAATAAACCCTTTCGAAATTATATATACTTTAGATCAATGCCCATCTTTTGAGTTTGTATGTCAAATATTTATTTATTTTAAGAATTATTTATTGTTTTCTAGTAATTGTAGCAATTTCTGGTACATTAGGACCTTTATTTTCTATATTGAGGGTTATTTTCCCAATGTTAGGTGTACTGTACAAATTGTTGCAAACGTTTATACATTTTACATACATTTTTAATTTTCTTACCTGTAATAGATTTAACCATACGCTATATCTAAGTGTTTTAAATAAAAAAAGTGTAAAAATACCTCAAAAATAGAGGGCTTATCAAAAATATTTACCACAGTTCATGTTTCAATTATGTGACCACTACTGTATATGCAAAGGAAATCACAACTTAAAAATAAAATACGTTAAATACGCCCTTCTGTTGGAAAATATCGTAGAACAAAAAACTGGAGACTATATCAAAACATAGAACTATAGTGGTTTCAAAAATTATTGCGTACCGCCTACTGCGGCGCTATGGTGGGGTTCCAACTAGCTCGTCGGGGCACCACTTAAGGGGTGAATTCATAACCCTGCCACCATCAGCCCTAGGGGAAGAACAATCGTTTTCAGAAATGCTACAAAAGACAAACACAAACAAAAATAAAACAACATACACATACAATCATAAGGGAACTTGATGATTTTGTTCCCACACTCAGCCCGCCCAACTTTGACCCTTGATCCTCATTATCAATCACTCTTGAAAAGGGCCCTTGTTTCCACACACACTCACCACATTACCACATCATCCTATTATCCTCCCTTACAAAGAACATTTAGCAATTCATATTAATACATAAAACTTAGACCTTAAAACAATTTATGGGGTTCATTTTTGTTGACTTAAACCTAACAAAGAACAATTTAGTCAGAATAATGAATTTCTAACAACCGGACGATAACGAAAATTCACTTATTCGGACTACCTTTTTATCCAATTAAACATCTGGCCAATCTGGCAACTTTGCTACTTTAGATACCTCGCCTAAAAGAGCTCTCTTAGCAGGTGTTTGGGGACATTACCATCTGGTCCCACAGTAAAATAACATAAAAACAATTCTAACAACCGGACGATAACGAAAATTCACTTATTCGGACTACCTTTTTATCCAATTAAACATCTGGCCAATCTGGCAACTTTGCTACTTTAGATACCTCGCCTAAAAGAGCTCTCTTAGCAGTTTTTTAGGGACATTACCATCTGGTCCCACAGTAAAATAACATAAAAACAATTCTAATTGGAATTTTAGGGCAACCCTACACTATTCCTATACTTCCTGGCGTTAAAAATCCTCACATATTAAATTCTTAAATACTACTTACTACTAAATTATTATACTATTAATTAAAAATGTATATTTGAAAAAATTGTTGTCTTTTAGTTTTAGTTTGTTAGGGATTTTTTGGTTTCTTTTTATTTTTCTGGTGTCTTTTACGTTCAAATGTATATAATTTTTTTAATAACTTTTAATTTCTTTGCATCTTTTCTGGCACAATCAATGCGTTTGGGCTCATGGCGAAACAATTAAATTTTTGCTCAACACCGGTGAGTATTTAATAACATAAAATGTTACCTGGTTTCCATATACTTATAGTTTCCTTTTTATTTTCAGATTTCACATTTCAATGGGCAACTGGACACCAGGATTTTGTTGGCAATTCTTCCCCAATTAGGCTTGCCGTTGGAGCAGTTGGCGAAGCCACTTGTCGCAGGCTATGCTGGCCGGGATGACACCTCCTGCTGTATTTTCCCAAACGGATACCTCAATTTTTTGCTGACCACCTCCGTACAAGGACTTGGAGGGGTCAGTGGATGTTTTATTGGTTGTTGCTGTCGATCTTGGCGTCGTCTTAAATAAAAACCAAAAAAAAAAAAACAAAACATTCAACAACATAAAAACACACTAACAATTCGCATTACACACATTATTTTGTTCGCACAAATGCATAAGCAGCACACACAATAAAACACAAGTGTTTATAAAAAAAAAACAAATAAAAATGTTGTCGTTTTTGTTACTTCTTTTTGATTTAAAAAAAATGGGGATTTTTTAGCGAAAAAAAAACTATTGATTAATATGGCTTCGGCCGAAACACCAAAAAAATATATATGCCAGATTTTCCCTCGTTATCCCTTTTATATGCCCGCCGCCATTGTAAATTTCCCCACTTTCCCAACATTTTCCCGCATTTTATGACATTTATTCTTGTTCGCTTTGTTGCCCTGTACAGACCTATTACGCTCACGATCAACACGTCGCGGATCTGTTGTCGGCAAATTTATTTTATTTCTATAATTTAAGTTTAAGATCAAAAAATTACCAAAATAGCAGTAACTATGAGATAAAAGATTTGAAATACAGCCAAGCCAGTGAAAAAACTGGCCCAAATTTCCCAACATACCGCATAGATTATATGATACCTAGCCACGAAATTAAATACATTAATACATTAATAGTTTTTGTACAAAGATTTTGTTGAAAAACGCACAGAAAAATTCCGGAATAATTTGGGGGGTACCGTTATATAGGGGCTACCATAAAAAGTGGACCAAATTGTCCACTTTTTGTATGAAGATTTCCTATCCATTGATAAAAGGTATAAAAAAAATCGTTTTGAACTTGTGAATATAAAATTACATACACCTTAATATGCCAACTATCGATATTTGAAATAAGGATATCTAATAAAAGGTATAAACGCCGTTTATATATACCTCTACAACGTGGTGCGCATTCAAAATTCCTGGTCAACAAAGGTGTGTATCTCTGTTCATACTGTTGTGCCTGATACATTTTTAGATCAAATATAGCATTTCCACATTAAATGAAACCTTTTACAAATTAAATGAACCCTTTTCCAAATTAAATGAAACCTTTTCCAAATTAAATGAAACCTTTTCCACTTGAAATGAAACCTTTTACAAATAGAATGAAACCTTTTCCAATTGAAATGAAACCTTTTACAAATAATATGAAACTTTTTCCAAATTAAATGAAACCTTTATTCCTACCTAAGGAAATATAATATATAAGTCAAATATGTATTTCGCATTTAGGACCGGGTATTCAATTCTTGCTCTTAAATATTTATTTATTAAAATGTCAAGAAATACCCCAGTTTGTATTACTATTTATTTAGTTTTATGTAGTAAAGATATTAAATGAAATCACACCGAATTAAAGAATATTTATGTTAATTACATAGCCATACAACTATATTATATAGGTAAGAATAATAATATATATATAGGTAAGAATAAAGGTTTCATTTAATTTGGAAAAAGTTTCATTCTATTTGTAAAAGGTTTCATTTCAATTGGAAAAGGTTTCATTCTATTTGTAAAAGGTTTCATTTCAAGTGGAAAAGGAATATAAAATTACATACACCTTTTCATTAATTTGGAAAAGGTTTCATTTAATTTGGAAAAGGTTTCATTTAATTTGGAAAAGGTTTCATTTAATTTGGAAAAGGGTTCATTTAATTTGTAAAAGGTTTCATTTAATGTGGAAATGCTATATATTTTATACTACTCTAAAAATCAATTTGATATAATAAACACCAATATTAATTGATATTTCCTCACATACTGCAAAAATATTCCTGCCTTCCTCAATAAAGTCTTAACAATTTATTTTATCCCTCAATATCGAGTAATAGCATTAAAACCACATGAGGTTTTAATACATATATGCAAAAGAAATGACAAACAAATAAAGATTTATGATATAGCACTTTCAGTGTAAATGAATCATTATTTTTGAACATAGTCATTTATTAAATAAACTCAATAGAACTATTCACTAGAAACGGTTCCATCTGCTCATTTTATGAAATTCTGTGTAAATGAACTCATTGTTTTGTTTTGTGCTCGCTTTTTATCGGATATTCCTCTTTCTCAGCTATTCGCATCGTTTGGAAATAGTTGTCGTAGTTCTTATCACAGAATCCTTCAGTTGAACTATTTTTTTCCGGAGCGACATAGCCAACACATTTCATTAAATTTCCTTATTTCTTTTTTATTAAATTGTAATTTATTGAAAATGGTTGATTTGGATTGCATGGAATCAGCAAAGCCGCCACCGGCTAATGATGGTGATAATGAAAATCTTGTGGAACCGATGTCGTCGTCCAATGTGGAAGAGAGGAAACAATTGTGTCGCCTTTGTTTACTTGATGAGCATACATCCGAAAAAGTAGTAAATATTTTTGATGAATTTCAAATCGATGAGCAAGGTAACAAAACAAAAGGATTGGAGGATATTCTCTACGATTTGTTTCAGATAAAGGTATATTCCAGTTTATAATGAGAATTGTTTTTAATCTGTATTTACCATTGCGTCACCACGAATGTATGACGCTTCTTGATTGCATTATTATGAAAATAGGGTTACTTATGAAGTCCTTGTATATAACTTTTTTTAAAGCAAATAGAATTCTAGTATAATTTTTTTAAAGTGTAATGTAATTGTACTCCTTAGAGATTGCCGATTTAAAAAATATGTTACAGAAAATTTTAAATTTTGATTGCAGAGTTATAAACTCTGGGGAACGGTGTTACCGACATATATGCGACTGGAGTATAGTCTGGGCCCAGTCGCCGGTTTTTTGTAAGACAATTTTACCACTATGTCTTCCTGGAGCCTTTTGTCAATTCTCTGTCGCTGGAGTGCTAGCCGGTTTTGTCGACTACAATGTAAAACCGGATTTTAACTTCAATCGTTTTTTTTCTATTCAAAACAAATATCAATTAATGGAATGTTTTTTCACACTTCCACGCAAACTTTGTGCTCAGATCAGATACACATTAATTGTTGTTGTTGTAGCAGCCCTATTGCTTTTACACAATGGGCTGAGGTGACAGACGTTGGCCGAGTAAGACTCGGGTCGTTTCGGATCGTAGACCCCTCTGTCGTGGGAACGAGATACATATTAATAGTGATTTTTGCTGTTCTTATGACACAATTCACTCTTATATTTAAAGTTGCTTTAAACCATATTTTTTAAGAATACACATTAAAAATTGGGATTGTGCATAGATCCTTAAAAATTCCTAAAAACGGGCATGGGGTCTCCGAAATTTAAATCAACTCGGATAGAAAATTTCATGATTTTGTTATAAGGTATCATGATTTATAATGATTTACATTTTATAGGTATATAAATGGTCAGATTATATCCTAAGTCAGAATATTTGTATCTTTGATTTCAGGAGTGCCCATGTGATAAACTAATTGTTCTTCTTCTAATTTCAGTATGATCGTTCTTGTAGCTTTCTGCCGCATGTAATTTGTCAACGTTGCTGGGAAATGGTTAAAGCTTTTGATAACTTTCGTAAAATAGTAAAACATAGCGAAGAGCTTTTACAAAAGAGACTGGAACTGATGAAGTCGAATGCATTTTTAGAAGATTTCGACGACAAAAGACCTGGACTAAATGGGAATCCCGGTGTGTTCGTACCCGACGATGATTGTGAAATACAGGAAATTAATCCCGATGAAGAATTTGAGTCATCAGATGATGATTTTTCTATGGAATCCGATTCGGATACGGAGGAGATAAATTTGCCAGCTAAAGAAATAGATGTATTTACGCCAAAACCTACACAAGCTCCAGCAGTTAAAAACACAACTGTTTCTAAGCCGCCAACTGTGACGGAACCAATACAAACGAAAGATGTTTCATCTGTACTTAGTGAACACAAGGGACTGGAATTTACCATTACAAATACATATTTATGCCAGTATTGTGATATGGCCTTTACAACACAATCAGAATCTTTGGAGCATGAAGCGTCTCACGATAAAGTTATGCCTTACATTTGTAACTTCTGTCCCAAAGCTTACAACAATCGCCAGGCTATGATAATGCATATTAAAGAATTGCACGATCCTGAAAAACCGTATATTTGCGCTCTATGTCGCAAGGGATTCTGCAGAAGATCCGATCTCAAGAAGCATACAATTGTTCATACAGGCGTAAGACCCTTTGCTTGTCCACTTTGTTCGAAAAGCTTTTCACGTAATACGAATCTCCATAAACATATGCGCATCCACAGCAGTATTAAACCTTATGTTTGCCAGCAATGTCCACGGTCTTTTAGCACCGGAACAGAACTTCTAAAGCATGCTCGTACTCATTCAGAAATTAAGTCGTTTAAATGCTCAAAATGTCCGGCTGCATACGCTCGCAAAGATAAACTTCAAATTCATGAACAATCTCATCAACGAAAGGAACTTGAGGCTTTACAAAATCAAAACAGAATTGCCGGATCTTTTCCAATGATGCAGAACCAAGAAACTTTGGAAATGACACAGCCAATAAATCCGTACTTGAATCAAGAGTTGAATTCAGTGGAACAGCAACATTTGATGATGCAAAACGTGAATTTTGCACAAAGACCAGTTTTTCCCCAATTACCAGTGACAATACCTTCAGTAATGAACACTCCACAACCACCAGCTCCGAAGCCGCAGGCAACGAAATCTCATCCACGTATTCATCCTTGTGATATTTGTGGCAAATCGTTTACAAGAGAAAGAGATCTTCATCGACATCAAGCTCTCCATTTAGATACTTTATTCACTTGCAAACAGTGTGGACTTGGATTCAGTCGTCGTGAAAAGTTAGCTCGACATGAGTTGGAACAACATGGACCTCAGTATCCATGTGATATATGTCGTATAACATTTCATAAAAAGGATGAATTGGATATGCACTTGAAAATGCATGAGCTGCAGCAAAATGCTGCCATATCAGCCCAACAAGCGATTCTCAATGCGGCAGGTGTTGTACATGGACCAACAATGGAAATATCACAAATGCACCATGTGGTTTCTCAACGACCAATAGCGCCTTCTTCTGCTGCTGCCGCCGTTCCACCAATGGCTCCAGTCGTGTCTCTACCACCGCCACAACGTCCTTCAGCAGCTGACATGTCTTTCTATAGTCAAATGGTACCAACTATGAATCTGGGATTTTATAGTGAAACACGACCAGAAGACCGCAATGGTATATAAGGGGAGAAATTGTTGATTTCGCACAATATAACATACTTTCACATTCAGAGAAGAAGAAATATCAACAATGTCGCTATTTTCAGTCTTCAGACTATTCTTATGAAGTATTTCATTGTATTGTATCCTAAAATTATAAAGCGAATAAAGATTTGGTATTATAATGAAACTCTATTATGGATGCTTAATTTACTTGGGCTATTTTATATCTTCTTCACTTTTAAACAACAAAGAAAAAGTAATTAAGGTGTGTTTTTCTCTTTTTAGAAGTTACATTTAAAGTTAAATTAATGAGATTGTAAAATATTGGCGTAGCAAATGTTGAAGAAAAAGTTATCGTAATAAAGTACGACTGTAAGCAACCAATCTTATTAGTTCGTTATTTCCAAGGTAAGGCAAAACCTAGGATTAACAGAAAAATATATATTCAGTTAGAAACTGGCAGGCATTGTTTCCTTTTTGTTACTTCTTAAGCTCCATCACTTTTCCTTTGTATGTCGTAAAACTTCAGGGCCAGGAAAAGTGGTAGCTATAAAAAAAGTTCGTTATAACCGGCGTTCGTTATAAGCTTACTCGACTGTATAACATAACCGTGACTATTTCGGTTGGCGTAGTCGTGTCGAAAATTGTATTTTTGAATTTATTTATTCGAAAAGTTATGCAGATTTTTTATATGGGAACATACACTTTAAAATAATATATTTAATACAACGTTGAATTTCAATTCACTTCTTTTAATCTACAAGTAATTGAATTTCGGCATAAACTGGATATAGAACATCATATATGTTGCAATTGAACCTAAAATCTGTGAAATTAAATTAATTATAAATTCGATATTTAAGTTTGTAGTTCCACTTACACCACTAGCAATATAACAATCAATCGTAAAACATCCGAATGCTTGAAAAATAATTTTCTGATGACACATTTGCAGAGAAAAAGTTTGTATCTGTAAACGTTAAAATTGAAAATAATTCTTAAATACCAAAACTTATATAAATCACTGCAATGAACCAAAATCTTTATAGTCAATCAAATGTATTTATATATACAAAATAAAACCGATTTCCTATCATCTGAAATATAATGTAAATGTTCCGTTATTTAATATATGAGTAATTTATTTTGAAAATGGTTTAAGTCCATTTTAGGTTTTGATACAAATCTTGGTTTTCTAGAAAAGTTTACAAAACATATTGCATTATATATCCTATCATGCCACAGAGAAAATTTTTGAAACAAATCAAGCCCAAACCGTTATATATCTCAATATAAGAAAATTGGACTTAAACCACATTCAAAATAAACGACTCATATTTGCTTTACAGATTGCTTGACTACTGACAGCTTTGAATTACCTTTCTGGATAAACGTATATTTTCAACCCTGTGACGGATTCCATGCAACGATTGTGGGATTAACTTTGCCTGTAAGTAGATGAGATATTAATAGCATTTTTAGTTATAGAATTAGATGCAATTTGATGTTTTGGATTCTGATTGGATGGCATATTTTTATACCGTACACAACTATGTTGTCAGGGTATTATAGCTTTGTGCAGCCCCAAAAGTTTGTAACGCCGAGAAATTTTGGTCCTAGTCCCACCTTTAAGTATACCGATTGTCATATCTCGACTAGCTGAGTCGATCTAGACATGTGGACCAATCTTCACGAAATTTTGCATGAGACTGGGTTCTGCCCAATGAAGACCCCTATTGTTTTTGGTAAAGATCGGTTAATATTTAGGGGATGAAATGGACCAAATACTTAATTTTTATCGGTTTCTCTGGTCGCTCCAGAAGCCGCAATTATGGCCCAAACATCTCGAATTTTTACATGGAGAAGGGGATTGGACCAAAGAATAAGCATATCTGTTTTGACCTTTAAATTGATACCAAATATATTGTCGTATGTACACGGATGTGGGAGTTATACTTAAATATTTACAGGTGCTTACGTATTCATATATTATTTTGTAACCCATTACCACACTAGAGGGCGGAAATATAGCGCTGATCGCTTTTAAATTTTCCATCGCTTTTAAATTATGGCCAAGGACAATGATCAGTGATGATCAGATTATAATTATGGGATGAAGTGGACCGAATACTTAATTTTCTGTGTGAGTCGATGTCAGTAATATGCCGAACATCACAACACCACCCACGGTGTAGGGAATCTGGACAAGTAATTAGTGGGGCGGCTGTACTGAATATTAGTAATATTCGGAAAATATGACATTGTAATCAAGAGGTGCTGTTGAACTCTAATCGGACAAGAGGGTGCAAATATCAAGAAATATTGCCCAGGCTCGGAAAAAAATCCGCAGAATGTTAGTGTTACGTGGTAGTTGTGTAGGGTATCGTATGGTCGGCCCCGTCCGACTATACTGCTGCGCTCACTGGTTTTAATTTTAAATAATGTTGAGTCTTCGTTAAAAAATATGTTCTAAAGAACAAATTGAGATCCTGCTTGGTTTCTTGCGATAAAAAGAGTTAGAACAAAATAAGACGAATTGTACTTCCAACTGAATTTAATATTTTAGATTCTCTTTGGATAGTCCTGGCTAAATGAGATTAATTATTTAATCGAATATTCAGTATTTGATGCAATACAAATTTGGTATGATCCGGAATCTGCAAGAATCTAAAATTTTTACTACAATTTTTACTTCCATTATGATATCGAAAAAATTTACTAATTTTTACTAGTAAATTTTTGCAGTACGAAAACCAATTATTTGAAATATCGATTTTTGACAATAGTCTTCATAGATGATTGTGGTTCAAGGAGTAAAAATAAAATTAAAAAAAATACATAAATATATCAAATGGGTGTTCGGAATCTTACCGTTCGCATACAGTTTTTTGAAACAACAAGCACCAGAAGTATATTAAAAACCGATGGTAGAAGTAGGGAACATTCAAATATTTCTGAAAATGTACAATTAAATAATAACATAAATTATTAGTGATTTGTAGCATTATCAGTTAATTTGTATTTTTATAACTGTTTGTAATTGCCAACAAATAAAATATTGAATTAAATTACAAATTTATTATACCATTTTAGTATTTCATTTAAAACTCGAATTTTTCAAATACCTTTTCTCTTACCCTGTAATTCAAACTTAGCATATATCACCCAATATGACCAATAGCAATCAGATAGAATTTTCACATAAGTGGCAACAAATATTGCCGGAATAGAAAGAGGCATTGATTTCGAAACCAAATTTGTTAGTTCATAAATAGATTCGTATCGCTTCATCCATAGTGTCAAATCGGTGAAAATGAATTCTTCAAAAAACTCCAATTGTACCTTTTTTGTACCAACAGCAGATTGTTGCATCTCAGTATTTAATTGCAGCAATTCCACCCTGATCAGTTCCATATACATGACAAGTTGAAGAATACGACAACGACAAATGAAAATGCTCGGTGTGTATGAAGAAAAAAATATCAACCAATCAATTTTTTTCCGCACCTCGATGAAATAATTGATCTCAATGGCAATTGTGAAAATGATAGAAAATCCCAAATAGGAAAATAATTTCCAATACGTTTTCCATTTCATTCCATTTCGATTCTGTAACCACCTGTTCGACCATTGTGTATGGATTTTAGAGTATATACGGAAAAATGTGTAAACATGTTTGCCGGTTAGTATGGTCTCGATTAGTGTCATTAAGTGAACAGCAAATATAACCACAAACTTTAGAATATCGTAAAATTTGCCAAAATTATCATGATATGGTGGATCATAGCGATACCGTAAAATCGTAATTATTATTATTGTAATTATTGACAAATGAACTAGGTACAATTTGACAAGCTTTATGATTTTATATTTAAGCGAAACTTGATATGGCATAAATGTTGAAAGACCCATGTAATAAAAGATTTTTAGAAGCATCCAAACGGGAATTTTCATAAAATCATTTTTATGTAATTTTGAATTTTTATATTTCATTATGAAGTAGCAGCGTATTTAAGTGTACACTTGAAAACGTCTTAAAGAAAACTAAATGCGTAATAGGAAATGGAATTAATGTAAATTTGTTAAAACATTCAAGTCATTTGTGAGTGTATTGAATTTATCCAATAGAGAGGCTATTAATCATTAGTTTTATCACAAACTGTGTCGTCCAAAATGAAAGTACTATATAAAATGTGTGCCCTGTTTGTTAGTATTAAAATGAAAATTTAGTCCTATCCGATGCGTAGGGGATGATAGATAGCAAGCAACGGCTCTGATTGGTTTTAACATGGCGAAGTCCAGGCTTATCTTGGTCTCTCTTTCATCTCAATTGTGGACACTGACCTCCCCGCGGTGCCACCTGGGGAGCTATTCTCATCACACGATGAAATAGTGAGCTAATATGTGCCGCGAGTTCACCCATAAGAACTATTAAAAAAAGGGTTAAGGCGTCGGGTTAGTTGCCCACTCTCGGAAAACCCAACCTACTATGAAAAAGCAAAGAAAACCAAACCCCCCTAATGTTGACGACCCCCGCAAACGTATTAAGGACCACGATCTGCGAATCTGCACTTGGAATGTGCTCACGTTGTGCAGAACAGGCGCAGTGTTCGCCTTGGCGGATGTACTCAAGAAGTACAATGCCGAAATTGGCGTAAGTAAATCAGATGATTACGCCCTGTATTATAGCTGCCATTAAACGAGACATGAATTTGGCTGCGGATTTATGGTTAATAGGAGAATAAAAGACCTCGTCTCCAGATTCACTCCAATAGATGCGGGAATTGCTATAATCCGTATAAAAGTTCTTCTATATCAGTCTTAGTCTATTCACATTTGGTGAAATAAGTTTAACCAAATTATAAACTCCGTCCGAAGATAAAGATGAACAGACCAAAGACACATTTTACGAGCGCCTAGAAACAGCATATGACCTTTGCCCTGGCCATGGGAAAATATCTTTGGCCCCACCGTCGGAAAATTCATGAAGAAACACCCGACAACGAGATGAGGTTGATTGA